GCCAGCTGCCTTCCACCGGCCCGACCCAGTGCGCAGGCGCCGCCGCGGGCCCTTTGACTCGCCGAGCGGAGCAGGAGAGAGCTTCTGCGCATGTGCGGGCTGCCCTCGCACCGGGGAGGGGCTGTAGGTCAGATCTGCGCGTGCGCAAGCTGCCTTGGAGCCGGGGAGGGGAAGGGGAAGAGTTAAACTGGCGGTCGCGTTTCGAGGCGCATGCGTAGTACGTTCATTCATAAAACACCCCAGGGCGGGAAAGGTGTAACAAATCTGCTGGGCGGAGGCACCGTCGTGTGTGGAATCTGCCGACGCCCCTAGCCGTGCCAAGGCACCAGGGACTCTGGCACACCTTGCAACGGGAGTTGGGTAGGACCCAGACCTAGAGTTGTTACCCCTGTTCAAGCACTCGCTTTGTAGCGGCTTTGCAGCTCTTTTCATAAGCGGATGGCCACGTGGTGGGTGTGCCCAGTCCAAGTTTGATGCGCCGTTCACCGTTGAATTGTGTGATAGATGTAGCATGTGACACGGGCCTGGTGCACAGCTCTACCTCTCTGACCCGAGTTGTGAATACAGCCCCCCTGTCCCAGGCCCCAACCTGGCACCAAGCATGGGAGCAGGGCCCCCTGCTCCAGGATGGGGCTGAGAAGAAACATGGTTTGTTCTCTCTACCTTCAAATCAACAAGAAACAGCTCCCTCATGGCCCAGCAGCTTCAAAGTGCTGGAGCAAATTTAGGCAACAAAAATGTTTGTTTGGAAATGGTCAAATGAGTGGAAGCAGCAACTTGTGGCCAAGGGATGTTAAAGCATGAAGGAATGAGACATGGGATCCTGGCCTCACTGGTCAGAGATTTTGGGGATGATTTCAGTGGCACTTAAGATTTCATCCCAGAAATGATGGGCTGAGTGGAGCCTTGCTGACAGCAAAGAACAAGGAAGAGGCAGCAAGTATTTAGGGAACAAGAAAGGTGAAGCTAGAAAGGAACATCCAAGACTGGCCAACCTAGATCAGCTGCAGGGAGGAGGAAGTGACCTAGACAGAGGTCTTAAGTAAAAGCTTTCCAACCCTGCTGGTACCCGAGAGAGATCAGGCTGTTTCTTCTTGAATGATACGAAAGTCTACATCAATTAGGGACAGAATCATTACACTGGACAGAAAACTTCCTGGGACATTTTCCTTAGTTGTTAGACCATATCATTCATTTCAGCACATTCAGGCTGTCCAGTCTTCCAGCTACTAGCTGAGGCAATTCATCCCAATCATCTCCCATTACTTTTTGATAGCATCCCATCAACTTTGCCTTGCTCCTCACTTCTTCAAATATTGGTGTCCACTTTGATGCCTCTTTGGAACTAGTTTGTTTGACATACACAAAGCATGCCTACCCCCCCATTCCAAGTATTTTCCCAATAGTGAAAGTGAGAAGTTTCCATCCAGTTCTCTTAGATTTAATCATTGTTCACAAGTTTTGTTGAGGATATTCCAGTTATCTTTTAGATAAAACATTGAGAAAACTTCCATTTTTTTGGTCTTGATGACTCAGGTTTCATTACCCTATTTAGCTATAAATCAAATATATAGTTGCATCACTTCCTCCTTAATCTGGAGGCTGATATGTTTCTTGATCAGTGTCTACTCATAACTTTGCACAAACCTGCTAATTGTTTCACTAGCTTCAAGTGCTTTCTCCCAGTTGTCACAGTTACATTGACTAACAGTGGTACAATGATCATTATTTTTTTTTTCTCTGGGTTCACGGTCAGACCAAGTGGATTCAATTGTCTTCACTAGCATCTCTTTACATTACTTTTGTTGTGTTGCTCATCAAAATAGCCACAAATTCTAGGTCCACCTAACTTGCTTCATCTAACCCTTAACTCGTAATGCCTAATGCTATATTCATCCTTTGGAACTTGTTTGTCCAGCTAAACAATCACTAACGGGTAAGATCAGGAATGTTTCCTACCCACTGACTTTCAGTTTCTGTAACTAATGCAAATCCCCAACACAGAAATAATGCATGCCCAGCCCCTCATGCAACCCCCCTTCCCCAAGAGGAAAAGAACAGACTGGTGCAACCTGGTTAAAAGGCCTTAAATAAAAGGTGTTGAGATTATCTGCAATAATATCCCTGATCAGAGGAACAACAAGGGACATATGACTCTACTCAGCAACTGACAAGTTGCAGACCGTGACCGATGAAAACAGGCTCTGCAGGAGTCTGGATAAGTGATCATCTGATAAGTTCATTATGCATCTAAAGGACTTGCTGTGTTGAGGTACATTTTACATTATTATTTTATTTGAATAGTGTAGGCACTTCAATATCACAAGCACCTTTTCCTCCAAAATCAGCCCCCCAAAATAGATTTTGCTGATTTTTCTTTGTTGGAATAGAAGCAAGAATAGACACCACAGCAAGATGGCTGCCAGGTTTCTCTCTCCACTACCTTTAGGGTGGGAGGGTGAAGAGTCCACCCTTCAGTCAGAACTAATATTAACCTTCTCATAGCCACAACCATTGCAGTCAGGATCCTCTGCAGTCAGCATGCAGCCATTACTAGAACAATTTTTTTTTTCATTCCGCTTTCTCCAAACAAGGCATATACCTTACTTTGGGCATGTGGCATGCTAGAAAATATGATCATTCTGTTTTATGGGAGCTGTTCTATGGTTACTAGGTAATGCTGTCATCTCCCCTGAGAGAACAGAACTGATCCTGTTCAACATAAAATCCCAATATGCTGAGATGGTTGTAGTGATTGCCAGGAGTATTATCCAAAAGGACTAAGTCAGGAGCAAGAGAATGCAGAAGTCCAACCTCAGACCCATGAAATTTGCAGATGGTACTAAACTGGGGTGGGGATTGAGGACGGTCATAAATATAGAGGAAGACCAGATTGTATACAGGAAGATTTAGATTATCTTGTAAGTAGAAGTTTAATCATATGAAAGGCCAAGTCCTGCACTTAGGGACTAGTAAGAACTTTGGCTACCATTAAAAATACCATAGGATTTGGAAAAAAAAATACCAACTTTGGTTGTAATCTAAAAGAAACAGCAGTAATCTAAAAATGCATGAGGCATTCTGGTACCACTACATTATTGTCCACAGAAGAACTGTTATAAATTTAAGGCAATTCCAAACAGAGGATTGGAAGTGCCTAGTGCTAGTTCCTCACCTGACAATAAGGACAATGATGAGAGGAACAAGAAACAAACTCATCCTTTCTGTTTAAATCCAGGAGGTTATATAACCATACCAGCTGTGCAAGCAGTGCACCCTAGGATGCACCAACTGTTCAAGGGTCCACAGCAGCTGGCAGGAAGCATGAGCGTTCTGCATGCCCTTTCTGGTTGCTTCTCTAAGCTGGCAGAGAGAAGCAGATCTGCCCAAGGGAGCTGTGAGCATGAGCACCCAAGCTGTGCCAGAAACCTGTGTGGCATAGACCAGAAAGAGATGCATCTTAGTATGGTGGATGCCACTGGAACAAGGCAATAGGGACTTAAAGAGAGTAGTAGTGCACTGGTCTCAGTAGTCCTTGGATGGGAGGCAGGCTGAGAACCCCTGCAAACCACATGTGTGAAGGTCCAGAGGTGGAAAAAAGACTTTGAATCATTTGGTTTATGTGGCAAGACTAATCTAAAAATTGAGAACACATAGAAGGGGAGTGTGCTGTGCCAGCCCACTAACCTTTTCGGTCAAGTGCAAGAGTAGGTTCACTTCTGGTCACGTAGATCAAGGCTATCCAAACTTCTAAGTGCCTAGGGGCTGCACCAGGGCAAGCCACTTAGTCCTGGGGAATGTACTGCATGGACATCCCCTTCTCCCACACTGCTGCACTCCACGCTCACACAGGCACCCCTCCACCCCCCGTTGCTGCTGCACAACATGCCTCCAGGCTTATCCTATACTATGCTGCACTACCCCATCCCTGAGGCAGAGGCACAAGTGAAAGCTGGAGGAGGGAGGGGGACTCCAGAGCCCCCAGATGCTGTTGCAGCCAGTGATAGAGGAACAGTGGCCAGAGGAGCTCAGGGAACACAACTAAACCCCTTGCAAGCCACATGTGGCCCATAGGCTGCCAGCTGGACAGTCCTGAAGTAGCTAAATGCTGAGCATTCACAACTGGCTGACTTCCCTGGCACAAAGGAGAAAAGACCTGGACAAGGTAGAGTTTGAACCAAAAGAACCTACGGCGAGTACTTGATCTTTGAACCAGTCTGGGAAAATTTCAGTTTCCATGAGGGCCAAGAGGCCGAGTTCTGGTACTAGAATTTAGGCAAATCAATGGCAGATTTGTGATCTGGCAGTACCCATGCTAAATCTTACATCCATTAGTTCCTTAAGGCAGGGCTATCCAAGTGGCAGCCTGTGGACTCCCACCCTGCTACCATTCTCCCTCTCCATTTGCTCCTGCCACAGCAGTTGTGAGGGGGCTGGACTGCCTACACTGCATGTGCAGCAAAGGCAGCTTACCATGCTGCAGCTGGGCAGTGCATTGGGAGGGTGCAGCACATTGCAAGCAAGAGCTAGCTGCCTGCACTGGGTAGCCCACACAGCACATATGGCAGGGAGAAGGGGCATGGGCGAGGGTTAGGCTGACCATGCTGTGCACAGGGCAAGGGGGGGCACTGGGCACCCTGGCTCCCTTCCCTTTTCCCAGCCACATGTACCACACCCATATAGCATGTGGTTCCCAAGCTGGACCTCCCAACCTCTAGGTTTCCACTGGATGGTATTTTGAGTATCATGCAGGACTAGCTCCAAACAGATGTAATCAGAACAGGGAAGAGCTTCAGATGTAGGGATCAGCCTCCATAGGGCCCAAGAAGGCTGGGCTCAGTATGGGCACGGCAGAGGGAGCTCAGCTGTCTAGAAGAGCAGGCATCAGCAATTTGACTTGAGCATATTTAGGAGAGAACAAGGCAAGTAAGAAGATGAAAGGATCAGCTGAGATGTGTGTGTGATGTAGGGAGGGGCTTCTGGGGTCTTGGCTCTCTAGTGCCAGATTATGCTGAAGCGGCACTTTATTACCAAGATGTTACTGAAGAGGTTTTGGGCCCCGTACAAATCCAGCCTTCCTGCACAGTCCCAGTCTGACCCAACCCACTCACACATCTCAACTCATCTCCAGAAGAAAAGTCTTTTAGATTAATGGCCATCACAGGATGGGGGGTTGGCAGTTAGAGGCCAGTGGAATAAGGAAATAAAACCAACGAGCACAGATGTAAAGAAAGGGAGAGGTCTCGGAGGTGGGGGTCTCCTGGGCTTGCCAGACTGTGTGAAGCTACAGGTTTTCCAGTAATACAAGCTGGCTCCTGAGTAGCTCCTCTCCCGAGATACCCTCAATTACACGTCTACCCTCTTGCTTCATGGAGCTATTATACACAATGCTAGTGGAAAGAAATGCCCAGCTGCTGCTATCTGTTAAGTCTTTGTTGGAGCCAAATGGTTCCAAATTCCTCCTACAGAAGGATTTGATCCACTGTTTCCATGTGGCCATCCTGGTACTATAAGGGATGGCTGCACCAACTATGATTGTCCTATAGAAGCATAAGAGAGTACAGCTGGACGTGACTTCACAAGCTCACTTAGTTCAGCCTCCTGCTCACACAACAGGGTCATTCCTAAACCATCCCAGCCAAGTGTCTGTCCAACCTACTTTTGAAAACTGCCAGAGATATAAATTCTACAACTTCTCTAGGTTGTCTGTAGGCAGCCTATGACCACCATTATAGTCAGAAAATTCCTCCTAAACCTAAATTTCCTCTGCTGCAGTTTGAGGCCATTGCTCCTGGTCCTGTCCCCTACAGCCACAGAGAAAAGCCAGTTTCCTGGTTCTCGATAATTGCTCTACAGACATTTGAAGATTATCAAGTCCCCCCAGATTTCTCTTCTCCAGAATGAATAACTCTAGCCTAACCTCAGAAGTCTTGCCTCCCAGACCCCTACTCATTTTTGTTACTCTGTGCTGGACTCTTTCCAAGCTGTCCACATCCTTCTTCAAATAAGGGGCCCAAAACTGGACATGGTAGTCTAAGCAAGGCCTCATCAGTGGAAGAATCACTTCCCTTGATTTGCAAAAGAGACTCCTGTTAATACAACCTAGGATACTGTTGGCTTTTCTGTAAAGAAGGCACTCAGGGGGCTCATATTCAGCTTGTGGTCCAACATAACCCCAGGGCCTTCTCTGCAGTAGGACAGGTAGCCTAGCTCACCTATATTTGTACATGCAATTATTCCATCCCCAACACAGGACCTTGCATTTGTCTTTGTTGAATTTAGTCTGACTGATTGCATACCTTTTATCCAGCTTTTCCAGGTCATTTGGAATCTTGGCCCTACCCTCCAGAGTGTCTGCAACTCCATCCAACTTGATGTTATCTCCAAATTTCCTCAGCCTGGACTCAGCCCCATTGTCCAAATCAGGGCTGTCCAACTTCAAACCAGCTATGGACAACATGCCCCATGGGCACCCCACCCACAGGCTCATGTACAGGGGTGGGTGTTCCCCCACCTTATTCTCCCACTCTGCACTGCACACACAGGCATGATATAGCCACACCCAGACAATAGTTCACAATAGTGATTTGTCAGTTACCTGCCTGAGCAGGAACAGAGTGACAGCATCTGGTTCAAGCCTGAATAAGAATAGGAAAACAAATCCAATTCAATGAACCCTGAATGGAGCAGCAAGCCTTACTTACATGAATGCTTAAAAACAGCATACCACTAATCCATTCATTTGCAACTCACTGTCTGGCTTTTAGAATGCTATTATGGTACTTCCACTTCTAACAGTATCACTCTAAGAAAACCCGTCAGATAAGAGAAGTTTTGGGGTTAACATTGTAAGAAAACTGAATGAATTGATGTTTTTATTCAAAATAGCAGATTTTTGACAGAGTTAATAAAAACTGTTCATCAAAAAAATAAGTCAGGGTTTTCAATTCAGTCATTTTCTGTTATTGAATATTGTTCTTTGCAAGTCTGCTTAAAAATCTGAGTTGGATATAAAATATTATTGATCCCTAAATATTAATTTTAACATTTAAATAAAAATAATTAAATGAATCCATGGTAATTCAGCATGAATAAAGAGGGAGGAGAGAGAACATTTTTTTGTTTTAAAAAAGTTTGGAAGACATCTAAGTAACTTAGCAGACAGTCTCATTTTCAAGAAGGAGTTTGCTTAAAAAATTCCAGTCATGTTATATGAAAAAATTCCCAGACAAGCCTGAAATCAGATTAGTTTGACTATAGTTAATTTCTCTGTTCAGCAAATCATTTAATTTTAAGTGGCTTAAGACAGGGTGCCCAACTAGCGGCAAGGTTTCATAAGTGGCACAAGAAGCCTCTGTGTTACATGCAGCAGATTGGGGAGGGGACAAGCAGAACAGTGGCAGATAAGGCAGGAAGCAGAAAGCAGAGCAGCAGATGGCACAGGGAGCATGTGGCAGGAAGAAAAAGCAGAGCAGTAGTTGGGTAGGGGAAGGGAGTTGGAGTGGCACTCAAAACGAATGTGGGGCTAAGTTGTGGCATGCCTGCCGAAAGGTTCCCCCCTGTTTTAAGAGATGTTTATGAATCACATGTTTAAAGTAACTGTATAAACTGGGTGTAATTAAACTCCAGCTACCATCTTAATGCAACTGCTTTACAAATCATGCAGAAAGTGAATTATGTAGTAAATAACCTCTCTCAGACCCTAGAACTTTAGAAAAACCTGTGTGCACAGCTGGTAAGACTAACAATCAGCTGACTGGTGGTCCCAGTCCAGGACTACACTGGTTCACTGTCAGCCAGGTTTCAACTTGTCAATGCAGGGGCACTGATGAAGAAGTCCAAAATCACCTTAAAAGTACAAGTGCAGCCTTTGGATGACCGAGGAAACAGGTATTCAAAGACTGCAACATCAGATCCAAAATGAAGCTCATGGTTTATCAACCAGTCTTGAATCCCCCTACTGTACGGAGCAGAGGCATGGACAACATATAGGCAACACCTGAAGTCACTGGAGAAGTACCATCAATGCTGCCTGTGGAAGATTCTTCAAATCCAGCAGGAAGACAGACACACCAACGTTAGCATCCTCTCGCAAACACCACAAGAACTGAGGCAACAATCATCTGACATCAACTTTGCTGGACTGGCCACGCCACCTGCACGTCCAACGCCAGACTCCCAAAGTAAGTTTTATTCTCCCACCTCAAATCAAGGCATACACTCATCTGGAGGGCAGAGGAAGCACTTCAAGGATGTCCTCAAGGCCAGCTTGAAAAAAAAAAAAAATGCAACATCAACATCAAATCATGGGACACTACCATCCAGGACCACCCCAGAGCGTTACTGCAAGGATCTCAGTACTTTGAAACCTTACAATGAGAACAGGAGACAGAAAAGCGGGAACAGCAGAAACAGTGTGTCATGGACCAAACCAAGAACCCAGAGCCACCCACCCCATATGGAAACGTGCCCAAATTGCAACAATCTGTCAATCCCAGATTAGCCTTATCTTTGGACACACAAAGCAAAACATGGATAATCATCCTCAACTGTGAGGAACTGCCAATGATGCAGGGGGAGCCTGAAATCATGATTCCAAGTTTCCCCGTGCGCTGAGAAGCAGGGAGCTATGACTGGGATTCAATCCCCAATCCCAAAATAGTGCATCCTGCTATGCACAGGTGGCATGGCAAGAGGGACTACTGCTAGGATGAGGGAACAGATACTATGGCACCATTAAATTAACGCGTGTCAGGGTGCATAAGGCCCATGTGCTCAAGCCCAGTTCAATGTGGTTAGGGGACTAAAAACTGTTGGGGAAGGTCAACTTCCAGACTTTTCGTGGTCATCTGGCCAGATGCTGGGGGATTGGAAACTGGCTAATGTGGTCCCAATTTTCAAGAAAGGGAGGAAGGAGGACCCAAGTAACTATAGGCCTGTAAGCCTCACCTCGGTGCTCAGGAAGATCTTGGAGAGAATTATCAAGAAGCACATCTCTGGGGGGCCTGCAGGGGAGATCATGCTCAGGGGCAATCAGCATGGATTCATCAAAGGCAGGTCCTGCCTGACCAACCTGATTTGCCTTTTATGACCAAGTAACTAAATCCTTGGATGATGGTAGACATAATCTTTCTAGACTTTAAGAAGGCTTTTGACACTCTCTCACCCCATCCTCATCAATAAATTAAGCAACTGTGGCATTGATGCCTACACAGTTGGATGGGTACAAAATTGGCTGATGGGGTGCACCCAGAGAGTAGTGGTGGACGGGTTGTACTCAACCTGGCAAGATGTGAGTAGTGGGGTACCCCAGGGCTTGGTCCTCAGGCCCGCACTGTTTAACATCTTCATCAGCAACTTGGATGAGGGGATGGAAAGCACACTGTCCAAGTTTGCTGATGACACTAAGATGTGGGGCGAGGTGGACACACTTGAAGGGAGAGAGAGGCTGCAACTAGATTTAGGCAGACTACAAGAGGGGGCAGATGAGAATAGGATGGGGTTCAGCGTAGACAAATGCAGGGTGCTGCACCTTGGGAGAACGAATCCACAGCACACATACAGGCTGGGGAGTTCCCTTCTTGAAGGCACAGAGGCAGAAAGGGATCTTGGAGTCGTAATTGACTCCAAGATGAACATGAGCCGCCAATGTCAGACCACAGTCAGCAAGGCCAGCCATACCTTGTCATACATCCAAAGGTGTATCTCAAGCTGGTCCAGAGAGGTGATACTCCCCCTCTATGCGACTTTGGTCAGGC